CCCCCCCCGCTCCCCCGTCCCGACCAGTGCCACTACCATCCTTACTTGCCTGGACTTTTGCAATGGCCTTCTCCCCTCCCATCACACCACTTACAGCAGCCTGGGGAATTCAGTCCCAACTGGATCCAGGCAAAGATTCTCTCTGCTTACAACCCTACTGTGGTTTTCTCAGTGAAGAAACCAAGGTCACCAACATGACCCACAAAACCCTACAGGTTCTGTCCTATTACTCTCCTTCCACTCCACTCTGTTCCAACTGCATCAACCTCCTTACTGCTCTTCATATATACCAAGAACTCTACTGCATCAGGGCCTTTGCACAATCTGGAACTCTGCCCAGACTGCTCTTCCTCCAGGCATTCCCATAGCTCACTCCCTCACATCCTATAGGTCTCAGCTGTCAAGTTGGTAAGGCCTTCCCAGTCTACTGTATTTAAAATTCCGTTTCACTGATTTTCCTGATACCTATTACCTTTGAACACATGACAAAGCTCAATCATTTACTGTCCTTTCCATTTGCTCTCACTGGAGTTATCGGCTCCATGACATCAGAGACTAGTGGGGTTCTATTCATGCATGTTTTCCCAACAAAACAGGTGCTCAATAAATGTGTGTTGAATGAATGGTTGACTGAAAAATATGAACTGGACAGTTGCGGAGATGAGAAGACAGAGGGTGGACAGCAGACATGAAACTGAAATGGTGACACTGAAAGGGTTGGGGAGAAGACAGAGGCAGAGAGCAGGCAGCAGAGATGGGGAAAAGTTGAGAGGGGGGGAAAGGAAGGGAGTAACTGCAGAAGTGGAAGTCAACCGAAGTGGGAGATACAGAAGAGGACATGCCCAGGGCCTCTGCTTGGCCTCCCACCCCTGCTGTTTACCATCAGGAGCCCCGTCGCACACCACAAGGTCCGCAGGACAGCCCTCAAAGTGCTGAATGATCTCCTTGGCAGTGGAGAGCTGTGGAGAGAGGGAGGATGAGTGGGTCCAGGCCCATCCACTGCTTCCCTTGAACTCCACCTCACAGGGCCCCGGCCCACAGCCCCTGGATCAGCCAAATCCTCAGGCTTTCCCCACCTAAGACGGGGCTCCATCTTTAGGGAGCCAGCCTCATCATTTTTTGCTGTCTCTCTGTGATAATGATCCTGGTAGTCAGGATCTAGGTATGTGTGCTCAAGGAGGTCCAGGACACGAACTCAGGACCTCTGCCATGGAAGTCCAGCTGTGCCACCACCTGGAACACCCACTCCCCATCTTCCTATCATTCTGTCTCTCTTCTGCTTTCTGTAGTCTCCAGGTGGGGGCCTTCACTCAAGATGTACTCCAACACCCTCAGTTATACTCTCACCTGGGTGATGTCCCCCTGGATTTGTATCACACCTGGTAGTGGAGCCATAGCCTGTAAGTCCACAGCCACCACATGGCCAGGTCCCTGGCCCCTGTGGACAACAGGGCTCATGTCAGTCCAGTTTCATTCCTGTCCCCAATCCCAGCCTGCCCTCCTGGGCCCTCCAGCTTCCCCCCCTCCCCACCTCCAGCCCCACTCACCCAATCTTCTGGCTCAGCACCTGGCTCCAGCTGCCTGGGGCTGCACACAGGTCAACTGCCCGTGCCACACCTGGGCACACACAGGGAAAGTGACTGGTTAGTTGCACTTTACTTCTCCACCCTGGAGATTCTGCAAAGTTCACCCCTCTCCCCTGGTGGACACCCACATCTGTCTACTTTTAGGTGCCCAGCTCCTCTCAGGTATTCTTCACATCTTCCTGCCTGTCTCCCTGCCCTAGAGACCCTCCAAATCAGCCCACTTACCACAGGGAGCTCTGCAGACCCACCCCAATTGTTTTTCCCCTGTGCCCACTCCTTCATGCCCCAGTGATGTGCCCGCTAGTTAGAGACCTTGGAAGAGCTGGAATTCCTCATCGAGCTGTAGCAGCTTGAAGGCACTACGAGCACGCCAGCCGTTCTCCTTGGCCAGGCGGTAATAGACATCTCGCTTGTCCTTTGACGTCCGTCCCATCTCATGCACTGCTTGCCTAAGGAAGGACCTGCCAACAGTCAGCTGATGCCGCCCTAGATCAGGAAGCAGAATGGAGGGGAGAACCACACAAACCAAAGTGAGCTCCCCTGACCCCACATGACAGCTCACTCAGCAGATGGCAAGACTGAAGTACAGACACTGGCCCCACTGATTTTAGAGGGCCTGAAAGACTATTCTTTTTTTGTTTTGGAGAGGTTTTTGCTATAGGGTGCGTGCGCTTGCCAGAGAGACAGAGAGGCAAAAAGTGAGAAATCACACCCTGGGGGGATGGCCACGCTGCAATCCCTTCTCCTCCATTCTCCTCTCAGTATCTTGGGGACGCACGCACACACGCCCGACGTGAGTTTAAGCCACCGGGTCTGGGACATGAACCACAGTCGACCACACGGGAGTCCAGCGACATAGCCTTTATGCTAACTGCTGGTCCCAAGGACTCTATTCTTGAGCTCTTAGTCTCCACTTCACTGCTTATCACAGTGCCCACCCCCCCCACCCCCAATCACTTACTCCACAGTTCCCTCAAGACCCCACAAACATGGCATTTATAGAGGATACACTAGTGACCCTGTCCACCTCTCATCACTGTCACCCACACTCCACACATTACACCCTGTGGTTCTCACTATCAACCTTTCTCTGTCCACCTGACACTGACCACCTGCTCAGATGTCCTATTGTGCCTAGATGCCTATAGTTCATTATCCCTCCATTAATTCATTTTTCACTCATTATCTTAATCCTAATTGTACCTCCCACTGACTTAATCTGTCTACACCACTCTCTCTTAATCCTTTGAATGATGAGGCCCCCAGTAATTCCTTTCATACTACATCCTTGTCAACCCTGACTGATCCCTGAAGGATCAAGGTGTATTAGTTTGCCATTAAGCTCTCAATTACTGATTTATCAGTCCCCATTAACTCCACCTTCCAATTGGGCCCTCACAAATCACATCACCAGCTCTTATAACTCATTTCATTAACACGCACTCCCATTACTCCCTGATCACACATCAGTTTACTGCTCTCTTCTCACTGCCTGATGGATCACTTGATGATCTCGCCCAACAGCTAACTGCTGTTACCCTCTCTTTGCTCACTCTGTTCCTATTAATTGCTTAATGGTCATGTTACGACTGCCTGCTATTAACCCTTTGATTATAATATCCCATCAATCTCCTGTTATCTCTTTGATCATTTTCCCCACTGGTCCCTTGATTCCGGCCCCTACCTGTCTCTATTATTCATTTCACAGCCTGTTATTCTTTCAGACTACTATGTCCCATCGTTCTCCATTAACCTGTTGAATAATCCACCTTCGGCAATCCCTTGGAGATCACGTCCCCATTTGCCTCCCTTTATCTTCTAGTTGCTTACCCATGCTCTCATTAATCACAGAACACACTTCCACCAGCTCCCTAGAACGCGTCATTGAAACACTCCCATTAGCTTTCATTCATTCACCAGTAACAGCTCACTATTACCCTCGTGGTCCATCCGAGCTCCCATTTACAGCCCTCTGGCCACACCCCCGATCTCTCCTCTCAGTCCTCCCAGCTCACAGCACCGCTGGGACCACCAGACAGTTTCATGGATATCCAGATCACTGGGTCCCCACGTCCCACCCCCCGCCAACCCACCATGCATACCTGTCGCTCTTCTG